CGAAAATTATATTCTGATTGCGTGACCGAATTTAACGATGCCACTGCTAGTAAATAAATATTTGCAACGCTGTCAATATTAAGCTCACTAGAACTGATTTCTAACTTCCACTCTTACTATTTCTAAAATGCCATAGTTTCTTCATAAAAAACATCCAAAACGTTGACGGAAAGTTGTCTTGCTTTGTTGTAACATGCATCTAATGTCTCACATTCCGTAACTACGAACGACCAATGAGAATTTCGCAATCTAGCCGATTGCAGGCTTGTACATATTGGCCTCAAGTTGTCAGTCACTAAAACTGACACAACGCTGATTACGCTATAACCTAATAAGCATGCTTCCTAGTGGCTTTTTGGAAACTTCACATTCGTTTCCTTTTTCTATCACCCTTCGAACATAGGCAAAAAATTTGGCTGAATTTCACACAGCGCTGACTGTACGTATAAAGTAGGCACACCTAATCACGCGCGTTTACACAAAGCGGTTGAAGGCCAGTTAGGTAAAATTCAGTCAGTTGTTTCATGTCAGGCAAAGTGAGTATAGCAAAGTAGTATATTAACTGTATGCAATGGGGTATGGCAGAGTTATAACTGGACATGGACAGGAAAGCATTTTGACGCTCGGATTAACAAGGTGTCCTAAGCTACTGCTAAACTCACGCTGGCAATTGATGCGTAGTAGAACGCATCACAATTAAAATAAAATCCATATTATTTCAATCCAAAAGAGTCAAACTAAACACTTCTTCTTAGATTTCAATAGGTAACAAAGGTAGCTTGCTGTCCAGTGCAGGCGAATCTTGCTCCTATTACGGCAGTACTTAATGTGACATTTTATAATAAACCGTACTAATTAACATCTTGAAACTCCTTCAACTAACCCACAACCATCTCTATTGTCAGTAATAGGCTGCCAGTCTTCGAAATCCAGTCAATAAGAACACATGTTGCGTAAATACTGTGGTTTAATAAAACGCAATGACCCGATAGTTGAATAGCTGTCTCGCTGTCACTAATCCGCTGGTCCGCTGGTCTTTGCTTACTTCCTAGTTCATGGTTTAAACGGATTTTCAAGTACTACTAGGTTTGCGTGTTTTACAGGAACCTTGGGTAACACTACCATAAAGAACATTCGATACGCTTTTGAACTTTTAAGGTTACTTGAGGCCAGCATAATGATTAAAATGGTTGTCGAACTCCTAGGGATGTACATGGTGTCCTCGGCGGGCAAATCATAAATCTGGGGTACCTACTAGTGACATATTCTTGACGCAACTCTGCGATTCACCATTAATAAGTGAACATTTTTAATAGTGTACAATGCGCGTTGCTTGAATGAAGTCTAGGGTGCAATAACTGTTTGGATATCTATTTTTTAGATGAATCATATCCAGTTTGTTCTTCGGAGTCGATTAGAATAAGGTGACCATATCGATACCCCCGCTAATCAGATGCACCTACGTTAAATGCTACCGATAAGTCCGTTCCCCTATTGTGTTACTGACATGATCGACGAGTCCAGGTAGACTAGATTGACTTCGGCCTTTATTATCTCCAGGAAAGTTGAGTTAGAGCATTACATCTCCGTCAATATCCTTAAGTAGGACAGATATTAGGAGAGCTGGATCAACAGCGATGATACCTTTGGGAGTTTTGTTCGAGTTCTGAGCTTTAAAAGTGCGGTACCTGATCTTCCCAATTCAGCGCTGCTTGCGGGTTCGTGCTGTTTTGGTTCGTGCCCTGCAGATAGTTCGATGATGCATTTTTCAATAACATTGGCGTATCTCCTGAAGTATATTAATTCGAGTGATCTATTGAATCTCCTCTTTCTGGTTAAAATGACATTTTATATTTAACCATACAGAAGTACGGCACCTATAAAGGGACCGGTGACCATTTTCCACTAAAACTTGATATCTTGATTCCGTAATATGAAAGTGTGGTACGTAGAACATGTCTGTGGTGTTGTCTGATCACTAGCTACGATGGGTTCTCGTGCTTCACCGAGTGCATTGTTTTTGTAATTTCCGACGAAATTTGAGGAAAATCGGCGTCTTAATTGCAAAAAGTGTGTCAATGGACTCGACCTAAATGTGTGGCAGTAAGTAGTTGTGCAACGTCACAGAAAGTTAAGTGGTACATTTGCCACAATACTGTCTACTTTGGTAACGGTGCTTATCGATCCGAATTCGATACTGCTCAGCAAAAATTGATGGTGGTCATGCGATTTCAATAAGTGCTAACGAGTTTCTATTTTTCCGGAAGGAAGCCCACACATCAACTGGTTGAGTTACAGAATACTCTAGACGATCAGCGTTAGATTTATTATCCTTACAGCCATAACAGTAATTTAGCCATTGTAACTGCAAAATACGGTACTTCCTTCTTGATGTGAGATTTGCTTGCGTTGCCTGTATCTTAAGCATTCGACAAGTATGCGGCAACGGTCATCGACCAGTGTTTACATTTGATGTTGGGATAAACATTTTAGACGGTATCAAACGCATTGTGCGCAGATAACATGTTGCGAGAATGCAATCAGTGAGTGATGATTCAACCATGTATTACGGATCAATGCTCATTCCATTTGCCATATCTGCACGCGCAATGCAATACTCGATGCTAAGCTGAATAGGACTGTTCTGATTAGCAGTTAGAGTAGTGGTTTCGGCACTGTCCAATATCGAAGGTATCCAATACGTTTACGTTTGCATCCTGCCAACCTGCACGGGAACTGAATGAACTCAAATAAACATGCTCCTAAGATAAAAGAAATGTTCTTAATCAGAGAAGGCGAACGGTAACGTAGGAGCAATACAGCACATGAGAAATCCAGTAGAACAGCAGCTACTGTCTCTACGTAGAGGTAAGATAAAACATGTTAGCAATGTAAATCGGGTGGTGCGCAATAGAAATGACATGAAAAAAGATGTATGCAGTCACCTGTGTTTGCTTACTTATCATTCCGTTCTAAATAATTGAGAACAAAATGCAATAACTGTACGACAGAGAGAACTTGCCATCCGGGTTGAGGTGTAATAGCGCTAACATACGGCTCGGAGTACTAGTATGCTTCCCAACTAATGCAAATGCCTTAACCCGCTGATGATAATGCAGTATGGATTAGGCAGCGGTCGGCATGTACAATAAATTTTATAAAGAATATGTACAACGATAGTTCAATCCCTGCAGGGCAATACTGAAGTTGGAACAATCTTACGTTAATTGTACAGACTGGTAAGTTTAGCGCTCAGAATGCAACTGAGTACTAAGCAATACAAGCAGTGGCTTGCATAAGTACGCCAAGCATCACACAAACTAGGAAATAACTGCACGTTATCAAGCTAACTAACGTTAGCCTTTATGGAAGGGATTCGAGGCAGCGATGTGTCTTGCTCCCTTGCTTCATCAATTGAATTTTATGCGTAGCCTATCAAAATAGGAATTCTGATATCCCAAATGATGTCTGTCTGTGCCTGCGTATTTTGTTTTAATGACGTTCGACTCTACGTCTAGGCAGGCCAATGGCAGTAGATGTTAACTGACCATTTCTCTCCGATGCTGGCAAGTACAACAGTGCTCTACTTGAGTGCACGCTGCTGAGTTGGGACGATAACCAACGGTTATTATATAGCACAGACCAAATCTATACGTATTTCTGCCTTCCGCTATCAATTTTAATTAACCTTCAGGTACTTAGTCAGATGGCGTTTGATTGTGTAGCATCCCCGCTAGTATCGCTCTTGAATAGTGCAATGTTTCGTGCATTTAGCAAGGCAAGCAATAGTACAGAATTCCGTTCATCTGAATATCTCAATTCAAGTTTTAATCTGGTTGCGTAAGCCTTTTTCAGTGTACATCGGACCTGTGCACAGCAGGTAGTTTATCCACAATAATCTTAAAATTAAACACATTAAGGTTACGGTAACCCGCCTGAAAGATTGCATTCAGTGTTCACCAAGGTGGACATACTAATGTTCCCAAGTGAAGTAATTGCTTTAATGGATGCTACTAGGTTGCAACAGAGAAATCCTCCCTTTAGATTAGGGGACGAAACAATCATTCTCTTAGTTAGGATGCGACATCGCTGTTTCACTCCCCAGTTGAACCAACAGCGTCACGTTGACTTGCGTCATTTATAACCAGTTATGGTGGTGTTAACTTATAGTGATGTCCATGGTACCTTTCGAATTTCGTGAAACGGTATAAAAGTTGTGTTGGACACATTATCAAGGAAACTTCTAAATATTATTTTATCTGCTGACGTCAGTCTTGAACTGCCTTCCGGGATGACAGTTTTTCGAATAGCTATGGCAGATCTTGTTTCATGTCAAAAATAACAAAGCCTTCAAATTCTTTTCTATTACATTGCCGAAAGAGGATGTAGATCTGAAGGACGAATATATGCTGAACGTGATGAGTGCGTAGAAACACACTATTTAGCAATGTAGTGCATCCAATTGTTATTGAAAAACTTCGAATGACTTTAACATCTAGAAGTAGGTAGTAGTACTCAACTGAGGTTACCCAAATCTTTTGAACACAAATTCGACCACCTCTACTGAAATGCCCGCATCAGCAGGAAATAACACTCCGTTACACTGGCATAACTTATGCTGTTCAAACATAACTGTAACCAATTGTTACACATGAATGATTTAGGTATTTAAGATGGGTCAAGCAATCAAGAATGACTATGGGTACTTATATTATTATTAATTAAGTAATTAATTATAATTACGCGCCACCAATGCAGATGACGAAACACGAGACCACGTTGTGGATTGACACAGAAATGATTTGGGTGAGCCGTGAAATCGTACGTGCCATGTCAATAAATGAGAGCTTTTCATAGCAGATGGAACACAAATGCTATAGCATTATTCGCTACAGACGCTGATTTGTTCACAGATATGGTACAGGGTGAACAAAATTTCTCTCTTAATATACTGACAAATTGGGCCAGTAAACAGTAAAGTGACTTCAGTCAACATTTACCTTATTTGCGCCGTCCGGAAGAATGCACTCGACCAGTTTGACGAGAAACATTTCCAGTTCATCACCGTCGATAAAGCCGTTTCCTGTTTAACACAAAGAAGGCTTAAGTGAAGCATGAGTTCACATAAACTTAAATATTGTATAACCTCCATCTTTAGGACATCAATTCACCTAGCCGATATAGCTCAAATAAGTAAATAAACAATATCTCTCAAAAGCAAAACATTGCTGCGCTTGCAGGCAAATCGAGTCAAACATTCTTAGAGTATTCTAAGAATTGTCTACGGCAGTCATAGTCGATACAGTTTCCTGTGTGTTCAAATGTTTTAGCGAGTGTCCAGTTTCTTCAAATAAACTGCAACAACCCAGTTGATTGTTAGCCAGCTTCTTCACACGTACTGTTTGAATATATGCTTGCAAGTCGGCACAAAGTACGCACACGGCGGTTGGAGCTTTGTTAGAAACGTGGTAGTTAATTCATTACTTACCCCGATTGTGTGGTCGCGGGTAATAAGGAGTGAAATTAAATGTTTAGTAAAGTTAGGACGAAACCGCTTCCTGATTAATGAGTACTGACCAGGATAAGTTAAATGAATCAGTGGATCAGTATATTCCATTCTCAGTGGACGGTGCTAGAATTCTATATCTTAGGTACAATTCAGCCACACAATGACTTCCGCCAAACGTTAAAAAAATCATCTACTGCAGAAATCATTCCTTCGCCAGTTCAATACTCTATTCGGTTTCATAAGATAAAGGGGCCCAAAGTGACATCTTGGAATGAGCTGAAGCATGAACAATTTATTTACACAAACATTCAATTGCGAAGTACGTTTGGGTCTGGGAAGGTGAATATTCGGCAAGTCAGTGCTTGTTCAACATCAATCGTTTTCCAACATTCGGGGGCATAAGCATCAGTGTTAATACCATAAGGGCATGACAATACCGATTATACCATCTCACACACGTGACACACGCGTGACGCGCGTGCTACTGGTTCATTTGGATTATTTCCCTCTATCCTCTCTTCATCTTCTAGCAGCTTGGTCACTGTACGCTCATTTGAACCGAATTTACCAGCTCTACACAGTGATCCATCATACGTGGAAATATCTTCTACGATTAGAGGCTGTGACATCACTAACCGTTTTCACTGGCATCTGTGATTAAGCGCAAGCGTTTACTTCAGTCGTATTGAGCCGATAGCCTTTCTGTGTGACACCATTCGATACAGAATTCTCGAGGTAGGCCGAAAAGCCTAAGCTTACTCCGATCCAGTGTTTCTCAACACAGCTGTGAAAGAATCTGTGTTCAGCGCTCTGTTCAGGTTGCAGTCACTCGCCATTCCTTGTGAACTTGTCAGCCAGTGCGGCTGCATAACAAATCACACGGACCGCGCGACCACGCTGACCGCTCATTTGAACTTGCAACCACCACCCTCGCCTGACCGATGCGCGCCGTTCTCAAAGCTGCAAAAGTACAGAACGCTAACCAACCCACTGGGTCAGGTAACGACACCAAATTGAATGGCAGAAAGGCGAAACCGAAGAGACTCCCACCGAAAGGCATTTGCTGGTTAGGAGAATGTCATCGGGTAGTAAAAATCGGTCTGGCTTGTTCGCACTGTTTGGAATGGTACCATACGAAATGTGCAAATGTGTCCCAACAACAGTTACGGGAGCGAAATAGCTCCCAAGATGCATTTTGGTTCTGTACTGCGTGTTCCACCATCACCCTCGTTAAGTGCTTGCTTATCCTAGCTGAGAAATGCGACCGGTTAATCGCAGAAGCAGAGCAGAGGATAAACAATGAGATTACTTCAATGGGAGCGAGTATGGACCACAGAAGCGTAGCGGCTGCTAAGCAACGGAATGCTGAACAAATCGCTTCGCCTGCACCGCAATCAGCCACGTCTCCATCTCCGTTGTCTTCTCCAAATTTGGTAGAACGCCGGGCGAAAACAGACTGTACCTACGTGAACCAAACAGTACTCACAGCAAAGAAAATCAGGCACCCTACAAAACGTCTGGTTAAACGAATTCCACTAGACCTGACATCTAGTATTAACAAGGATGAAGCAGCCAAACACCAACCCTTGGTACCTGTAGCTCAAATATCTCTTGTCGAGACTAAGCCTCCCAGAACATCGGTTACATATGCAGAGATTGCTGCAACGGTCCACCGAGTGGCCGCCTTTGCGTCCTCTTCCATTGTGAACACCGTTAACGCAAATAGAGAGAAAAAGAGCAAACAATCACTTGTCAACAAGTCAAGCCAACTGAATACCGTACCTTGTACATCGATTAAAAAGGGATCCAACAACAGTGCCCGGATTGTTGTATGCTCAAATGTCCCTGAATCTACCGCCATCACATTGCGGGATAAGTTATCAGACGACCAAGACCAATGGAACTCATTGTGTATGCAGATGAGTATCAAAGCCAAGCCCACAAACTTGTTACGAATTACTCGTCATGCGAACTCGCCACACTATGGTGAACCCAGACTTACTCGAGTAACTCTAGAATCCTCTACAGACGTAGAAAACGTTTTGCTCTCCGCAACCGCGCTAAAACACGAATCCTGTGGGATACATATCTATCCTGATGTCCCTTGGAGCGCGCGACAACCAAAACGAAACACCGAAGAGGGGCACAGCAAGCAAGACCGCCTAAACACAATCTTCATACATGGCGTGCCAGAACATCCTTCTAAAGATGTTCAAGAGACGGGAAAGTACGACTACGAACAGGGGCGGTTCATTCGCGAAACACTTTCTTTGGATAATGTTGTGGCACTATCGCTCACCAGGATACCTCTCTCATCGAATTATAGAGGATGCGGCCCTAGAATCCTAAAACTTGTGGTTCAGTCAGAGCAACAAGCAAAGGATGTTTTGGATCGATGGCGGAGAAATCGGAAACATCTTCCTTCCAAAATTCGGTTAAAGGTCGCAAACACTTTGCACAGCTCAAATATTAAAGCAACTGAAGCAGCAAGCATACTGACGAATATACAGAAGTGTAACTTGACTGCTGCTTTAATTGACTCTGACGTAGATCTAAACGAAGGCTGGGACGCACCTTGGCCGAATCAACTTGCAAACGAGGTATCATTGACCCATCAAAAAAACGAGTAACTGCCGACCTCCCATCCGTCGGCATTCTCCCACACTTGACAGCTTCACTTCTCTGCGGGCTCCTAGAGACCGAGAAACTGGCCTGCTTGTATACAAATGCTCAGGGTCTTTCTAACAAACTGGCTGAACTGAAAGATCGCCAAGCTTCCGGCTCGTATGATGTCATTGGTATCACCGAGACATGGTTGCACACAGGAATGACGGACGCTGAAGTGTCGCTACCCGGCATGTCGCTGATCCGGAACGACAGGCTCACAAAAGGAGGAGGGGTAACCTTGTACTACCGAAACGACTTACAATGCGAAGCCGTGGAGGCATCGGACTCGCAGTTCAATGACTCTCTTTGGTGCCGGTTGCAGTTAAAAGGCAGGGACGCTTGCCTTATTGTCTTGGTGTACCAGCGTCCCTAATTCAACACCCGAAACCGACTACCACCTAGCGGCTGCTTTAAGGTGCAGTTTACAACAAAAGTACACTCACGTTCTTATCATGGGTGATTTCAACGTACATTGTTTAGAAGCCCCTGCCACGATCGGGGAACAATTCAAAACCGATTTACAAGATCTAGTAACTACTGTCCCTCTTTACAACCACATCACTTTGCCCACTCGGTCCAGAACTGGTAACAGACCATCTGTGCTGGATCTTGTGCTTACCAACGAGGAGCATATGATTGATGTGTTGGTTTTAGACTGCCCGTTGGGTCGTAGTGATCACGCAGTGATCAGTTTTAACTTCGTCTGCTATGCAGAATATCTGAATGATAACGATGATATTGTGCGAACCCATCACAAGGTACGACCGACTCACCCAGATACTCAGCGCCATAACATGGTCTTTCCTTGAAGAAATACCCCCCGAAAGTCACCTGGCTCGAGTTCGTCAACACATTCAGTCAGCTGATTGCACAAGCTTCAGAGATAAAAGCTTGCAATAAGTGCAAATCAGTTTCTTTCGTTAGGAGCAGAACTCGAAAATGGATGACAGTACGCAACGCAGCATGGCGAGTGTACAGAGAAGTTCCAGCACCAGAATGTTGTAACAACTACGTAGCCCAACGTAACCACTGCACTCAACTGTTAAGAGAAGATAAAGCAGCCTATCAGCAGAACATCGCAAAAACATTCAGTGCTAACCACAAACTGCTGTACAAGCACGTTAATAGCCTACGAAACGTGAGGCAAGGTATTCCTCAACTCAACACGGCTGATGTCCCAACAAGGACGTCTATGGAAGCTGCAAACGCGCTGCAGATGCAATACGCCCCCACGTTTCAAAGGGTCTTGCCACCAAGCGATCTACCACGCTTTTTCTTCTGCTCACCAGGACTTACCCACATCAATTTTACCGCAGAGGCTGTATTGCAAAAGCTGCCTTCTGTACGCAAACACAGCTCGCCGGGTGTCAACACCATTCGTACTGAGGCATTGGGAGTAGCAGCAAACCAACTGGCAGGACATTTAGCTCAGTTTTGCCGGCACTGATTAGACCAGAACCAAGTTCCCGCCATGTGGAAGCTTGGAATAATAAACCCGATTCACAAAGATGGAAGCAGAACGGATCGCTCCAACTACTGCCCAGTAACCCTTATTCCTATACTCTCCAACGTCATGGACTCCATAGTTGCCGATGCACTTTTGTGCTATCTGGAAAACTGCAACCTCATCACCCCTGAACAGCACGGTTTCCGTCGACAGCGGTCATGTACAACTAATTTACTAATTGCACGCAGTAGTTGGACCGAGGCAGCCGACGATGGAGAAAGTGTTGATGTGATCTACCTGGATTTTTCCAAGGCTTTCGATCGTCTAGACCATCGGATACTACTATCCAAGCTGCAGCATTACGGGATCGGAGACCCTCTTTTAAGCTGGATCGCCAACTTTCTATTTCAACGGCAATTAGTGGTCAG